TAAGTTCCAAAATTCCAAAGATCCCAAGTTCTAAAATTGCAAAATTCCAAAGTTCCAAAATTCCAAAATTCCAAAGTTCCAAAGTTCCAAAATTCCAAAATTCCAAGGTTCCTAAATTCCAAAATTGCAAAATTCCAAACTTCCTAATTTCTAAAATTGCAAAATTGCAGAATTCCCAAATTCCCAAATTACCAAATTCCAAAGATCCCAAGTTCTCAAGTTCTAAAATTGCAAAATTCCAAAATTCCAAAATTCCAAAATTCCAAATTCCCAATATTCCAAAATCTCAATATTCCAAATTCCCAATATTCCAAAATCCCAATATTCTAAAATTCCAATATTCCAAAATTTCAAAATTCCAAAATTCCAATATTCCAAAATCCCAATATTCTAAAATTCCAAAATTCCAAAATTCCAAAATTCCAAAATTCCAAAATTCCAAAATTCCAAAATTCCAAAATTCCAAAACTTCTAAACTTCAAAACCCTATAATTTAAATCTTCATCACCTAAATCCCCAAATTCTACATTTCCAAACATTAAATCCCTAAATCCCTATATCCCTATATCCTTATCCCCTATACCCCTACACCTCAAAATCCCCCAAATTTCTAAACCTTCCAATCCTCTAAAAATAATCCACTCTCCACAATATGTAATTTAAATTTAATCTTCCGCTCACTCAAAAGCATCTCGAACGACGAACAGCCTCTGTCATGTATCAGGCATCTGAAACTCGTTCCTTTTTCTATCTTTTTTCATCAAGATGCGTGAGAAACCATGAAAACAACTGGTTTTTGCATAGTTATGCGCGAAGGAATGTGAAATTCTGAATTTACTCCAAGAGAAACTTATTCGATTCGACGCCTCGTTACGTAGATACACAAACCTGAACGTTTCGTATTTATACGGGCAGCTGATTTTGCTGGGTGTTAAATGAAAGCACATATGCGGGCTTAACGGGTAAAATTCATCGATTGTTCGATAGAGTACCCGCATTTTTTCATGCACCTTTCAAGATATTTTTAATGTGTAATGTATTTTTAAGTGCGTTTGTAGAATGCATTTTTATGGGGTTGTTGTTTTTGTGCCGCGTGTTATATTGCCACGCGTTGTAATGCAAGGCAGTGTATTTAATTTGAGAGTTTGGAGATTTGAAAATTTGAGGAATTGTAAAATTGGGAGGTTGTGAGTTTTATAACTAGACGATTTGGTAGTTTGATAATTTTACAATTTGAGTATTTGACTGTTTGACTGTTTGGCTATTTGTCTATTTAACTATTTGGCTATTTGAATATTTGACTGTTTGACTATTTGAATATTTGACTATTTGACTATTTGCCTGTTTAACTATTTGATTATTTGACTATTTGCCTATTTGACTATCTGACTATCTGAGAATTTAAGAAATTGAGAAATTGGGAAATTGGGAAATTGGGAAATTGGGAAATTGAGAAATTGGTAATTTGAGAAATTGGGAAATTGAGAGATTGAGAGATTGAGAAATTGAAAATTTGAGAATTTGAGAATTTGAGAAATTGAGAAATTGAAATTTGAGAATTTGAGAAATTGGGAAATTGAGAGATTGAGAAATTGAAAATTTGAAAATTTGAAAATTTGAGAAATTGAGAAATTGAGAAATTGAGAAATTGAAGAATTGAAAATTTGAAAAATTGAAAAATGGAAAAATGGAAGAACTGAGAAAATGAAGAATTGAAGAATTGAAAAATTGAAGAATTGAAAATTTAAAAAATTGAGAAATTGAAAAATTTATGATATTGGAAATTTGTAAATTTGTGAATTTGAGAATTTGACAATTAACGAACATGGGAATTGAAAATTAAACAATCTCGCCATATCGAAAATATCCATAGCAATCCACCTTTCATTTCTCCAAATAAATTTGAAATTATATTCCAACACAACGCGAAGTTTCCCTTTCAACTTTAAAAATTCCAAGTGAAAGCGTCCAAAGACTATAATTAACACGTAATTATTACAACCAAAGCAAATAACAACATAAATTTATCACCTTACTCTCTTTCAACCAAAATCCTTTTTCCCATTCACAAGTGAACGAACTGAAAAGGTTTCGGGGTCAATTTTACCCGTGTCAACCCGCACTATTCAATTTACCTATCCAGTTCACACGTTAAATCGAGTGAAAATACATTCGTGCATTTAGCAATCTAAAATCAGAAAGTATAGAAATTCACGTACATACATATATTATAAAACGTTAAACTCGATCGGTGGCCAAGAGGAAGTTATCGGTAATACCGGTCGATTGGTAAACGAAAGATCCAGCTTCGAATCCCGGTCTTTCCGGTTTGTCGGTCGCGCAATTAATGCACGGTAAAAGCGGCGCGAACGTAATTAATATTCGAAATCTGAACGTGGAAATGTTCGGCCGATGGACACGGACGTATATATACGTCCGAAGCGAATGCTTTCACTGTGCCGCAGAGATTAGTCAAGCCTGGGAATCCGCATAACGGAGAAGGCATTGTTACGCGTTTCTATCGGATGCAACAACGTTTCATACGAGTGCCAACGATCACTTTATTACGATCGTAAGAGCTGCCCCGGTTCTGTATGAAACTGCGCAAAAATATCTCTTCGTGATGTATCAACCTTTTATACTTTTACGATCGCGTGCTGGGCGAGAATTACGGTTGCAAATTGGGGGATGATTTTGTGCGTGACGGAGGAGTATTATTTTTAAATGGCGGATGGGTTATTGGAGGTGAACACGAAGGGAATTCTATTATTAGGTGATGTTTGGAAAGTTGGGATTTTGGGAGTTGGAGAATTTGGGAATTTGGTGATTTGGAAATTTGGGATTTTGGGAATTTAAGGATTGGGGGACTAGGAAATTTGGGGTGTTGGAATTTGGGAATTTGGTCATTTGGAAATTTGGGATTTTGGGGATTTAAGGGTTGGGGACTAGGGAATTTTGGAATTTGGTGATTTGGAAATTTGGGATTTTGGGAATTTAAGGGTTGGGGGACTAGGGAATTTGGGAATTTGGTGATTTGGAAATTTGGGATTTTGGGAATTTAAGGATCGGGGGACTAGGAAATTTGGGAATTTGAGGATTTGGTGGTTAGGGAATTTGAGAGTTTGGGGATTTGGGGACTAGGGAATTTGGGAATTTGAGAATTCGGGAGCTAGGAAATATGGGAGCTCGGGGATTCGGAGCCTAGGAAATTTGGGACTTTGGGAACTTGGGGATTTGGGGACTAGGAAATTTGGGAATTTGAGGATTCGGGAGCTAGGGAATATGGGAGCTCGGGGATTCGGAGCCTAGGAAATTTGGGACTTTGAGAATTTGGGAACTTGGGGAGTTGGGGACTAGGAAATTTGGGAATTTGAGGATTCGGGGGCTAGGGAATATGGGAGCTCGGGGATTCGGAGCCTAGGAAATTTGGGACTTTGGGGATTTGGTCATTGAGGAATTTGGGAATTTGAGAATTTGCGGTGGTGGAATTCGGACCTTTGGAAACTTGGTAATTTAAGAATTTAGGAATTTGTGAATTTGGGCAATTGAGAATTTAGAAATTTGCAAATTTGGAACTGTAGAGATTTGGGAATGTAGGAATTTGGAGATCTTGAAATTTGGACCTCTGGAAAATTGGGAATTTTGGAATTTGGGCAACTGGGAATTGGGGAATTTGAGAATTTGGAACTGTAGAGATTTGGGAATGTATGAAATTGAGGATCTTGGAATTTGCACCCTTGAAAATTTGGAAATTTCAACAACTAGACCCATAAATAGTTGCCAATGCAGAAATTTGTGATTTCCCAAATTTTCCCATCCAGAGATTTATTCTCCACAAGTTTTGATACTCAGTTATTTGTAAATCTTGAAAGTTGTCTTTCAAGTTTAAAAAATTAAAAAAATTGTTATCTGGAAACTTAATAACTTGAGAATTTATGATCTTCAAAATTGTTTACTCTGAATACTTCTATAATTTCTTTCTTTCTTTTTTTGAATATTTCTTTGAAATTTTATAATTGAACCTTTCAAAAATATATAGTAAATATCTGCTTAAATATATGTCACCTAAGAAATATGCAGTGAATGTTGAAATCTAACCTAACCTACATAACTTTTCTATCTGACCTACCACTACTGACCGCCATCTCAATATAACCTAACCTAATTAACCTAGCCTTAATATAGCCTAACCTAACGTACATAACCATTATATCTAACCCACCACCACTGACCGCCATCTTAATCTAACCTAACCTACATAACCTTTCTATCTGACCTACCACCTACCGCCATCTTACTGCCACCATATACGCTCGAAGACCGTAAAAATTTCCCATCTTCAAAAAAGTTCTTATCAACAGTATTTATGGTCCCATTGTGCCCCATAGATCTCACCTTCGAACGCTGAAGTTCGATAGGTGGAAGGCACGCGAAAGGAATTCTCGACATGTCTGGCGAGCGAATTAGGCTCATTGGAATTTCACTTTGGTTATGGGCTGGCTTTCGTGCCGCCAAGTATGGTCCCCATGACCCGGTAGCCGGATACGATACGCGACGTGCGAGTATCGCTTGACTCCTTCCTCGTTAAGTTATTAAACCGTTCTATTAGCAAGTCCTTATGATATTAAATTATCTTTACACCTCACAAAAGAATTATATTTACGCATCATTAGTTCTCTCCTTTTTAGTCAGTTGACTCTCTTTTTTTCTAAAGAAAGATTTGCATCATTTTTATTCGAGGAAGATTTAAATACTTTTCCTGAAATGAACATTTATATATTCTTCTTTTTATGAAGATTTAAATATTTCTCATTCCGTGAAGATTTAAATAGTTCTCTTTCTACGAAATATCTTTAATTTCACGAGGATTTAAACATTTTTCATTTCACGAAATAATTTTCTCATTTAAATAATTTTCTTTTTATAAAGATTTAAATTTTATTCATATACATTCAGTGCATTTTGTCCGTGTATTAAAGACAGTAATTTTTGTGTTGCAGATAAAGGGCAAACGTTGATCTGATCACGATGCCGTATTACAACAGCGGGCACAGTCCTTCCACCTATAATAAAGGTAATAATAAATCACCGTAGATAATCTCCCGTGTCCATCAATTAATAGAATGACTATAAAACCTCGTTGCCGATATAATGAATTAGTATCCTCGATCCAATTTCTGTTACCTCGTTAGCGAAATATCGGCTGAATCACGAGACAGATTGACGGTAAACGAATAATTAACGATGCGTTTAGATGGAGGATCCAGCGGTCCATCCAGCACATCCGGCGGCCGAGTCAGTAGCTCCGAGCCAACTTACATGATGGAGCATTTGGCCACGTTCACGGTCACGAAAGAAACCGGTATTGTTTATCCAGCGGACGGTATGCGACGACTTTTGCAGCTGGAGAAGAGTAACGGCATCTGGAGTCAAAAGATGCAGCTCCGTCTGGAACGGAACTGGGTGCTGATCATGGACAACGAGACCGGGGTAAACAACGAACGAAAACATACAATGAGTCTCAGAAATTATTTCTTATGATTCTGATAAAGAGGAATATCAGTGCAGTTGCATAGCTAATCAGATAAACATTGTCGCAAGTTTGCTCAAGTGACGTATCTCATGTCGTAGTTGATAGTTGTATCTGTTACCTTGATCAACCTTGCATGCGGATAACGATATTCTTTAGTTATGACATTTCAAGTATGGAGTCGGTGCACTCAAAATATGAATTCTAAAACTATCTATGTTAGTTGAAATCTTCGGACTGCGATTAAGTCCAAAGACCTCAATCCGTGTCAGTTTTGTAAGAAGTTTCAGAGACACCTTGTGTGTACCGACGAATGATAAACTACGAAGTGGAACATTTGTGAAATTACATTACGTCGAGGTTTGAGGCAATTTCACTTAATGCATCGTTGGTAAATTCGTATGCAGGCCGTCATGGAGCGATTCCCAGCCTCGTTGATACAGGAACCGACCGCGTTCACGTCGAGGGACCCGATGGAGATGTATAACAACATTCTCGTCTTCACAGTGGCGGATGACAGCGGTTCCGGTCAACGAGCAGAAATGCATATATTCCAGTGTCAAAGCGTCTCGGCCCAGGACCTCGTCGAGGACTTGAAGATGTTGCAGATGGGCAAGTTAGTACCTGGTGGGTCGCCGAGGGGTCCCAGGGGTCGTATACCTCCTCCTCCGACTTTACCTCCGCCGGAACCACCCTTGAACGGGGTCAACGTTCGGGAACAAGTGTCCGCCTTCAACGCTAATAATGGTACATCCTTTTTCTCTCTAATCATTTCCGTTTAATATTTCATGAACGTAAAAGTGGAGTAATCGAATGCGCTTTTATTCCGAATCAGCGGACGGCCAGAACGATATATCCCGCGAGGAGAACAACGACGAGGTGTCATCGACGTCCTCGGAGAAGTACGAGCGCGACGTGACGATACTGAACCACTGTTTCGACGACATCGAGAAGTTCATAGCGCGCCTTCAGCACGCGGCCGCCGCGTCCAAGGAGCTGGAGCGCCGTCGACGAAACCGGAAATCGAAGAAGAGGAACCTGGGTGACGGAATGTTGACTATGAGGGCGAAACCGCCGCCCGAAATGGAATTCATCGACATATTCCAGAAGTTCAAGCTCTCGTTCAACCTGCTGGCCAAGCTGAAGGCCCACATTCACGACCCGAACGCGCCGGAGCTGGTACACTTTCTCTTCACACCGCTCGCGTTGATTGTGGATGCGTCTCACGACACCAATTACGATCCGAATCTTCCGAGCAAGGTGGTCTCGCCGTTGCTGACCAGGGAGGCGGTCAACCTATTAATTAATTGCGTCACCAGCAAAGAGACAGAACTGTGGCACTCGTTGGGAGACACCTGGCTGATACCCAGGGACCAATGGAAGGGTCACGTGCCCCCGTATCATCCTATCTTCATGGACGGTTGGTCTCCAGAGTATCCGATCCCGGAGGACAGAGATCACGATCATCTAGCCTCCCTGCTGAACGCCGATAAACAGAAGAGGGACGAACTCCCCGAACAACAGAACGATCCTTATTATAATCACCGAGAGGTGGACGAGTCGCACTACAGTAGCGATTATTTGGAGTACGAGAGCAGAGAGGAACGCGGCGGTAACGAGTATTTCGAAAGGAATTATGGGACCAGCTCCGAGTTGTACAGGGAGGAGAGAGTAGTCGACCAGACGAGAGCGCACAGCGATATATCTGTCGATTCGATCGAAAGAACGCCGAGAGCCGGCGGAATGGAACGGGCACAGGAGGCCTGGCTGGACGACCTGCTGGCCCGACACGCGAAGATCGTACAAGTCACTTATCCGAGAACGGCCAACAACGACAAGGAGTTGACGGTCGTCAGAGGCGAATACCTAGAGATCCTAGACGATAGCAGGAAGTGGTGGAAGGCGAGGAATTCCAGAGGGCAAGTCGCGCACGTGCCGCACACCATCGTCACGCCTCACAATCCCACTCATTCCAACGACAACGACGTTTTCAACAACCCGCTATACACCAGCAGATATCCGAGACAGGGACATGGATATAATTATGAGGTGAGATGTTATGTCTACAGCCGAAAGTGTTTATGCTTCATATTTTATGGCTCACGTCGTAATGTACAATGTTCTGTATGATATATTGTACTCTATATCCTGCAATAGACTTAGCACAAGGACTTCTGTCACATATGTACTTGTGCAAATAATACTATTCAGTAAGTTGGAGCCAACCACAGGAGATAGTTTAAACAATCGATATTCAGCGACTTCAATACACTTGTAACAATTAGCAATTAACCTAGACAAATGGTCGTAAAATATGATGCTGAAGTTACTGTTGTGGAACTGTGTCACTGTAATTGTTACAGTCAGAATTTTACTGTCCGCTTTCTAGTCATTATTTTAAACTTGAATGATTATTTGAGTTGAATGAATCTGACTTATTTTGGTATTTCAGGATTCGGAACTCGAAAGAACTAGCACTAGTCCAGGACCAGAAGCCACCCATCGAACACACGCGATTCCACCGCCAGCGCCAGCCGATTGGGTGAGAAAAGAGAGACTCGGGAAAAAAGGTGAATTCCGATACTTTTAATCTATCGACCCAAAACCACTCGTAGTTTTGTGAGATATGAGATTGTTAGAACGATATTGAAATCGTGTCGGAAGATTCAGCAGACCACCCAAGAAGATAAAGTATATACTTTGAAATTGTTAGAGGTTCGAAAGCGTTCTAACAGTTTTCACTGCGGGACAAAGTATGTCAACGTTGAACATTAATCACCGATAATTAAATGAGCACATTAGCGCGATGGCGTCTACGTTAAGTCTGAAACCGTTGTACACGCCGCACATGATTTATCTAATCGAGAAAACATTCTACGATTTATAATCCCTTTTACTTGGTTTTTCAATACCGTATTTTTCTACTTGTATATATATAAATATATGAAGGAGTTTTAATGCGAGTTAATATCTAGGTCGAATCGTCAACATCGTTATCGCAAATAGGAACAAGGAGCTCGTTGTCGAACACGCTTCTCATTTTCCAAGTTCTTCCATCTATATCCGAAGCTTTTCTAATTTATAATCGCGCTTGAACGAGCCTTGGCTTGGATTCGAGGATACGTTAAGAAGAACTTCGAAAATTTTGTTTGTTTGTGAAACTTTGAACAACGATAACTTTGTCGGTCTTTGTTTCTTCGTTTTTAAAAGTTTATTTGCGATAAGAGCGTTATCAGATACAAGTTCGTGAAAATAGAATTCAAGATAAATGCATTGTTTTAACGTCGAGAACGTGTTCGAAAACGATCCGGAATTTTCATTGATTCACCCATGAATTTTATTTGGGTATCTTGCAAAATGTGAGCATCTCATCAGAAAACCCACAGTCAAAAATTCTAAAATTTCGCAATGTATCTTAACTGAGTTTTGAAATAATTTTATTTAAAATTCTGATCATTGTAAATTGTACTTTGCGATTCATGATCAGTGATCAGATGAATAAACTTGATTAGATTTTGAAAGATGATTGACAAGAGGTGTTCAGATTTTGCAAAATGTTCTTGAATTATTTCTTTTTTGTTTATTTAAAGATATATATGTATAATCGATATTATTTCACGTTAGTCAAGAGTGTTCGAGTACATAATACTGTACCTTTCTTATAGCGACCATAGGGACGATACCATATTTTTTATATTTATCGACTAACCAAATCTTATTGTTAGTATATATATATTATACATATGTATACTTTAACAGAATAGAAAACGATATGTATAGTTTTATCGTCGAACTGTTTGTAAAAGCGTCGAACCGTGAGTTGGTCAGAGTTGGGCACTATTTATGAATAACAAATTTGAGTTTCATTCAGCTGTTGAAAACTTATGAATTTCATCTTTCTGCAATTTTGACAATTTATTATGAATCTCTATTTTATATACTTCTGATAATTTTCATTAGGTTTCTTTTAGTTATAGAGTATCATAATGAGACAATTTAAGTTTCATTCATCGTTTGAAAACTTATGAATTTCTGCTTTCTGCAATTTTGACAATTTATTATGAATCTCTATTTTCTACAATTCTGATAATTTTAATCAGGTTTCTTTTAGTTATAGTAAGACCAAAGAAACCAAAACTGTTATTAATAAATAGTCGCAACGCAAAACCCTCGAATTTGTGTTTTATTTTGCGCTGACACCGTAGCGAATTGTCCGTCCACTGTATTTGGCTTCACCGTGAGAAAAAGCTTCACTCGAATTAAAGCCGTTGAATAAAATTAACTTCTCACGTCGGAAAAATGATTAACTACAGTACTTTCTTTATTAACGGCTTTAATCGTCGACGCTTTCTCTTTTGATGCTTGTATGTGTCGTCGCATGTGTTTGTACGCATCAGTGTGAATCTAAGCTTGTACAAACAAAGACACCTTGAGATCGATTTATCAATTTCAACGACTTAGTCTTCCAGCGTTCGAGAGAGTAAAGCGATCGCTTACGAATTTCACGAAAATCAGTTTAGAGCACACTAGGCATCGTTGATGAAGTTCTAACACTAACTAGTCGATTCATGGAAGTAAAATCTCCTTCAACGATGCTTGCAGATTAGACACTAAACAATTATGACACATTTTATATTTATACTCACTTCCCAATAGAACGAATCTTTGATTCTTGATCTGTCCACGGGATGGGGATTCGATCCGTCCAGTATTTTCGTTGCACTGTAATTTATGTACATCACTTGATTAATAAATATACTCGGTTACTGTACTCGTCTCTTTGCGGTATTGTTCTATCTGTATCTAGTAGATTCCTTCGATATTTTAATTTGTATTGTTTTTCTTTTGTTAAATGTCCGATTGTAATAAAAATGTAAACTTTAGGGTCGAAACGTGTTCTTCTTGCCGATAGATTTAGCTGTTTTGCTTGCTTGAAGTGTGCTTTTAGTCCGTCGATAAAGTGTTCAGTGTTCTCCGGAAACAGGGTAAGTTTGATTAAACTTGTATGAAGTAATTGCAGGGTAGACCAAGGTTCTAACGTGTAAACACATTCTACTTCTTTCGAAATCTTACAAAGTTTCAACCCTGTTCTACCCTTGTTTCTGACAGAAAGCTTTCCTAAACCATGCTGGCAATTAACATGAATATAACATGGGTTTTAATATTACAGACGACGGTGAAATTGTCTCTATCAGTAGCGACAAAGCAATATTCCCAGATAGGACAGCAACCCTTGAGAAACTACCATCGCCAGGAATTAAGAAGAAAACACCTGTTGAAGAGAAGGAATCAGTCATCAAAGAGAACGGGAAATCCAATGTTAAGGATGAGAAGCCATCTCAGAAGAACGAGAAACCACCTCAGAAGAACGAGGAACTATCGTCTCAGAAGGACGAGAAACCACCTCAGAAGAACGAGAAGCTGAAACCTAACGAATTGACAGAAGTGGCTGAAATTCACCCTCCGCCAGCTAACCTGTCCGAAGAAATCGTTCCTGAAGTATCAACACCGCCACCGCCTCCTCCACCTCCGCCTCTAGAAAGCCAGATATCAGTCATCTCGACGATTTCAACCAAATCACTGAAGAGTAATCAACCACCTAGCGGTAAAATCATCATTCTCGTTATCTAGCTAATTGATGTTTGGCACATTGTTTTTGTAGGGCAGCGAACGGAGAAGCAAATGCAGGAGGAGCTGAGACAGGTGTTGATGATATACCGTGAGAAGAAAAGTAGCAATGAGAGTGTCACTCCTGAGGCTGTTCTGGATAGATTTTCCACGCCCAGAGAGGTTCAAAAGTGGTTGGCGAGCAAGGGATTCTCGGACAAGTATGTGAAATATGGGGTGTTTAGTTGTTATACCAAAGCCTTTAATTTTAACTCTTAATTTTAACTCTTCAAACCCTTTAGTTTAAAAATTAATTGTTTTCAGAACTTGTAGACAGTTGAGGGATATGACTGGTTCTGAGGTGATTGAGCTGACAAAAAGACAGCTGGAACAGTACTGTGATGTGGTGGAGGGTGGCAAACTTTATGATATGATTTCCTTGGCGAGAGTGGAAGGCGAGGTAAAGGAAATATTTTGAAATTTAATTTTTGTTAAAATTTGCAAGGAATTAACAGTGAATGTTTATTTTATAGAAGAGTCCTCGAGTGTCGAAGTTGAAACAAATACTGGAGAAGGCTAAGCACAAAGCGGATGAACAGTGACTATAAAATACTCTTGAAGAATTATTATGATACATATTTTTGTTATATGTAACGATTGATGGATATGGGGAGAATGTAATAGTATTATTACTCTGGTAGGATGGTGCAGAAATAATTTAAGTTTTTACCAAGTAAAATATTTTTTACAAAATTTTGAACATAAAGTCCTCAAATTTCAAGCTCCTGTAATTCTCAAATTTTCAAATCCTCAAATAGCTAAATCTCCAACAAAAATTACAATCAAAATTTAAAGTTAAAATTAAACGAAGAGAATAAAACGAAAATTAAAGAACAATTGTTTTCGCACCAGCCTGTTTTAAAAAATCCTGTGATTCGTTGAAATGTTAGCAATACATTTGTATATCTTAACAATGTACTTAAAGATACTTTTACAGCTACGTTTCGATTCTTCCTACCTTCCAAGAAACAAACGAATCGTTTAATATTGATGTCAAGTTTTTATTTCAAGCAATCACATACATTGTAACAGACATAAATACGTACCCTAGTCACTTAATTATGTCGATAAACTATACATTTCATTTCGAATACTCGACTCGAAGTCACGCGCAACGTGAACACATTGATAATAATCATACGTATCTTTTTTCTTTCTATTATTCTTTCCTGCGGTTTATAAATTTACCAAGCCCTCGCAATGTTTGTCGAACAACAAATTTCCGTACACATCTCTGTAGAACAAATGTAGATCCCCGTGTAACAGCGAACAAATTAACAAGATTTCGACGCATGATCTTCGGAGGATGGAATAAATAATGAAACACTAAAAAGTTGTAATGTCTGTTCTGATTAATACAGTTATTCCAATTAATCCCTGTATTGGTGAAAGAAGGTGAAAGATTGGTAAAGAAGGCTTTATTGAGGATTAAAGAAATAGGCGGCCATTTTGAATACCTGAAAGGAACTCGAAGAAGCAGTAAATATTCTACTGAAAATTAAAACTACAAGTTTTTCTAAAAAAGATTGAGTGGTTGAACAAGTGTTTCATTATTTGATCCAACCTACGTACACTCTAATAGAGTCAATAAACGTTTATAGTCTTGAAACTGTAAAAAACAAACAAGAATAATGACGCTTCATTGAACCGTGGTAAGCCGGCTGAAATAAAACCATTTCTCGGTTTAATCAGGCTTCAAGCAGTCTTATGTAATCAAGCCACGTAATTTATCGTTAGAAGACAACGATGCATCGTGTGAAACGTCTTTATTGCAACAGAATCGTCTCGATAAAAGTGTAACGAACAATCACTAACTCTAGATTCTAGACGATGAAAATGATCTCGAATTCCTGCGTTCCCTAACGAACTTATCGTTAAAACTCTATGCTCGTATACAAACAGTTAGAAACGTTCAATGTGAAATTTCGATAAAAAATCTACCTTGAAAATCTATCAGAGAATTTCTCTAAATGCGATCTAAAAAGTCTCGTCTCAGAAGTTTATCACGACATCGAGTTTCGTGAGAATATTCAGTTCACGTGGAACTTACAATGATAACAGAAGAAAACGTGTTGGTCATTGAGTAGCTCAGGCCAAGCTTTCGCTTATTAATTATGTTAGCCTCTTATTATATTGCCACTTTTACTTGGATTTTTATTTGTCTGGGATGTTGACTGATTCGATTACAAATTCTTGAACTGTTACATAAGGTCTATTACTATGCGTTATATTGCCACGTGTTATATTACCACGTGTTTATCACCACATGTAAGTAATACCACGCGTTATATCGTCACGTGTCAGTAATACCACGCGTTATATCGCCACGTGTCAGTAATGCCACGCGTAATATCACCACGTGTAAGTAATACCATGCGTTATATCGCCACGTGTCAGTAATGCCACGCGTTATATCGCCACGTGCAGTAATACCACGCGTTATATCGCCACGTGTTAGTTATACCACGCGTTATATCACCACGTGTCAGTAATACCACGCGTTATATCACCACGTGTCAGTAATACCACGCGTTATATCACCACGTGTCAGTAATACCACGCGTTATATCACCACGTGTCAGTAATACCACGCGTTATATCACCACGTGTCAGTAATACCACGCGTTATATCACCACGTGTCAGTAATACCACGCGTTATATCACCACGTGTCAGTAATACCACGCGTTATATCACCACGTGTCAGTAATACCACGCGTTATATCACCACGTGTCAGTAAT